AGAGAGAAAGAAAGAAAGAAAGAAAGAAAGAAAGAAAGAAAGAAAGAAAGAAAGAAAGAAAGAAAGAAAGAAAGAAAGAAAGAAAGAAAGAAAGAAAGAAAGAAAGGAAGGAAGGAAGGAAGGAAGGAAGGAAGGAAAGGAGGAATTAGGGACTGGAACTTGCTGACTGAGGAGAGAACAGATAGTCTTTAAGAAATCATCCATTCCAATTCCCTGCCTTCAGGAAGTCCAGGCCTTATTATCTCCATTTCACAGATGAACTCAGTGAGACCCAGAAAGTTTCAATGACTAGGAAGCAGAAACAATACCCCAGGTATCTTGCCTTAGGTATCTCATCTCTGAAGCATAAGCACGTCTCAGAGTCTATGGCATTAAAACCACATGGAAAACAGAAACAGATAAGGAATCCCCCAAATATAGTTTTCCTCTGACAACCCATCATTAAAGGATGCCTTGTAGGCTAAGGGGTGGAGATGTCCCCAGGATCCAGTCCCTAGGTCTAGAAATGGTCACCCCGCTCCTATCGAGTCCTCTACCAGAGGGAGCACGTATCCAAAGAACCAGCTATTGCAGAAGCCACAGACTATCAGAGCTGGAAGAGCCGTAAGAACATAGACTGTTAGAGATGGAAGAGAACTTGGAACTTGCAATAGTAGAGGTAAGAGAGACCTTAAAACAGAGGATGCCAGAAGTGGGAAGGCCCTTAGAACAGAGTGTCAGAGCTAAAGAGGTCTCCAGAGGTCTCATATTCTAACTCCTCTCCTCATCCCTGCAAAGCCCAGAGGGGAGGAGTAATTGGGCTAAAGTCACGAAGAGAGTTAGCATCACAGTCAGGAGTAGAACCCAGGTCAGGAGTCACGACTGGTCTTTTGACTGTACCCTGGGTCCTCTCACAGACAACACAACGCAGAACAGCAGGCAAAGATACAATGACTTTGGGGAGATGGATGGACAAGGAGACAACAATGCCCCCATATGACAGGCCCTGAAAGAACCCAGTAGTGACCAAGCAGTCCAACACACGTGTCAAGACTCTATAGGGTTTATTTTAGGAGCTGCCACTGAATTTCAGAATCAAGTCACAACGTGAGTGTTTCAGATGTGAGTCATCAAAGAGGTGAGTGCACTGCTCCTGACCTTGCTACCGTGGCAGGAGCTCAGCCCTGTGTACCCTAGCTACATTCCATGGATTTGGCCCAAAGCCAGAGAGAGGCCCCCACCCAATCCGGTCCTAGGAACTAAAGATGAAAGAGCCCAATAGATATTGGTCTTCAGATGCTTGGATTCAATGTCACATTCTCTTGGACCTCAGAACTGCCTGACCTCTCTGCCTCCAGGTTCTAATGTTGGGGTGCAAGGTGATAGGCCGGGGCCCATCCCTAGCTCTGTTTGGAAACCACTCTTACTTTACAATGACATCTGCTCAAACAGCCTGCCCCTTTGGAAAGGACTTCACTAGGGACCACACGAATCCCTCCCACAGCACCCCCTATTCCAGGGGTGCCAGGAGGTGGGAGGACGTCTATTTGCTGGAGCTCCCTGGGGGGTTCCCATTGAGAACTCATGGGTGACATCCTACCTGAGGAGTGGAGTGAAGATCATTTAAGTCCCAAAGCCTTGTTTTCTGACAGATTCAAACCCTCAGGGTTCCTGTTCAATGACTGCTGTCATTCTGGCATCTTAACCAACCACTCAATCATACTATGGCAAGCCAGCCCGGAGCTGGGAGAATGCTAAGCTCTGTTTTAGCAGCATTTGCTGCTTGGTCACCCTCTCCTCACCTAAGCAAGAAGGAATCAATGCGTCTCTTCCCCTTCCTTTAACCAGTACTGCCCTAAAGATCTTCCACTCACCAAGTCAACAGAGCTGCTACTTCTATTATGCACTCATACACCCATGCACACACATGCATGCACATGCACACACACACACACACCATATTCAAAACATCACCACCTTTGCTGATAACACACATAACACCACCAGTGGGAAGTTCCCTAAGGCTAGTCTAAAATGGATAACCTTACAAAAATGCTAGAAAAGGAACATTAGGATGTAGAATGTCAGAGCTAGAAGGAAACCTTCCAACAAAATATCAGAAGTAAAAAAAGACCTTAGACCACAGAATGTATGAACTTAGCAAGGACCTTTAAGAAAGAATTTCAGAGCTGTTAATGACCTTAGAAAATGAAGGTAGGAGTTGGGAGGGGCTTTAGAATATCAAATATCAGAGTGTAGAGGGACTTTAGAACATAGAACAACAAAACTAGGAGTAAATCTTAAAATATAGAACGTCAGAGGTGGGAAAGACCTTAGGACATAGACTGTCAGAGCTGGGAGGAACTCTTAGAACACAAGATATCAAAGCTAGAAGTGACCTTAGAACATAGAATGTCTGAGCTTTGAAGGACCTTAGAATATGCAATATTAGGACTGGGAGAAACCTTGGGACATAGAATATCAAAGCTAGGAGTAAACCTTAGAATATACAGTATCTGTTAGAGGTGGGAAAGTCTTTAGGATATAGAATGTCAGAACTACTCTCTCTTGTTTAATTCTGAGCACCACATTTTGAGAGGGACCCTGACAAAATGGGAGAACATGGGGTGAAAGAACCAGGATACTGAGGATGCTAGGAATTGTTTTATGTATGGGATAGTTGGAAGAATTGAGACATTTAGCCTACACAAGAAACGTTTATGGTACATATATTTGAAGGGTGAGCATGTGAAAGACGTACCTTTAAATATCTTCATGGATTTGGAGATGGAAGAGAGCTTCAAGGTCACTAAGTGACTTGCCCAAGGTTACATGGATTTGAATCCATCTTTTGACTCCAAAGACCATACTCTTTCCACTACAACATTGTCATGACTTATGCTATATGACTCCAGAGGAATGATCCTAAGGAGGTGTTTTAGGGAGGCAGGGAGCTTGGTTTGTAAGAAAATTCTCACACTGAGCTGAAATCTACCAATGGAATGTGCTGCCTTGAAAGAAATGTCCCCAGAGGCATTCAAGCACAAGATAGCCGAGCGTTTACTGGGGTTATAATTGGGGAATTCTTGCTCTGGGAGGGAGGTTGGTCCAGATAGCTCGTGACATCTCAGATGACTCAATGATTCTATGATGTTAAGATGTCAACTAGTCTAAGTTCTAGAATTTTGTGATTCTAAGCTCCTGAGTTTTAAAGTTCCATGATTGCTAAATTCTATGACTCTAAGGTCTACAATTCTATATTTCTAATCTTCCAAGTTCTAAGATTCTTTTTTTCTCTTTTTGGTTAGGCAATGGGGTTAAGTGACTTGCCCAGGGTCACACAGCTAGTAAGTGTTATGTGTCTGAGGCTGGATTTGAACTCAGGTCCTCCTGAATCCAGGGCCGGTGCTCTATCCACTGCACCACCTAGCTGCCCCTAAGTTCTAAGATTCTATGACCTGTTCAGTCTTGGGTAAGCCACTTAGTCACCTTGTGCCCCAGTTTCCACCTCTGTGAAATGAGGGAGTTGGTCTAGAACCTTTGAGGTCCCTTCCAGCTGTGGAACTATGATCCTATCATCGTCTGCCTGAGGTTAAGTCTATTACCCTTTGTCATAAGGTTTGGTTCCAATTGGAGAGAGTTATAGGTAGTTAGTCTCACCTCTCATCCACTTCCCTCCTCATCCTGCCCCATGCCCACCGCCTTACTTGGGGAAGCTGCTGCCAATGAGGATTCTGCCCAGGGGGTACTCCTTTCCCCGGACAGTGACAGGTGGGCTAACATCTAGGTTTCCAAAGGAGTCAAGGCTGGAGGCACCGCTGTATGTAGGCTCTCGGGTCACATAACCAAAGTCAGGGCCCTGGGGAGAAAGCGAACAAAGCCACACCACGGGGAGTGGTCAGTGGGGGTACATGGGACAAGGAGGGAAAGGGAGAATCAAGTTTGAAAATTAAAGAATACTCTACCCCTTTATTGAGCCCCCACCCCTACATTGAGCCCCCATCCCTGCATTGAGCCCCCATCCCTGCATTGAGTCCCTATCCCTGTATTGAACCCTAACCCTTGCATTGAGCCCCCACCCCTGCATTGAGCCCCTATCCCTGCATTGAACCCCTATCCCTGTATTGAGCCCCTATCCCTAGAACATGCAGCATGGAATACCCAAATGTCCAAAATATGCTGAGACACCTGCCACATACCAGGATTCTCTTAAAGGGAAAATCCTTCAGCCCTCTGTTTCGAGGAGAATCAAAGACAACTGGAAAGGATTTGTGAGGTGCTTCTACATAACCAAATTCCATTTCATCCTGAGGAAGCGGGAGGAAGGAAAAAATCCAATTACAACCACCCCATGGTCAGATAGAAGGGATTATGGTGTGGTAGGGAAAGCACTGGCTCTGAAGTCAGAAGACATGGGTTCAAACCCTACCTCTGACACTTACTACCTGAGTGACTTTGAGCAAGCTGCAACTCCCTGGGCCTCAGTTTCTTCATCTATAAAATGGGTGCATTGGATGACAGGTTCTCTAAGGTCCTTTCTAGCTCTGGATCAATGACCCAATAAAATCAGCCCCACTTCTAGAATACTTTGAAGTTACAAGACACTTTTCTCACGGAATCTCTCTGAGTAATATGGGATCCTAGATTTAGAGTTGGAAGGGACCTGTTTCAAGTCTCTTATTTTATAGTTGAGGAAACTGGGGCTCAGAGAGCTTAAGTGACTTGCCCAGAGTCACATAAGTAAAAAGACGTAGAACTGGTAGAATCAGTAACTGGTAGAAACAGGATTTGAACCCAGGTCCTGGGGCAGCTAGGTGGCACAGTAGATAGAGTGCTGGGCCTGGAGTCAGGAAGATTCATCTTCTTGAGTTCAAATCCAGCCTCAGACACTTACTAGCTGTGTGACCCTCGGCAAGTCATTTAACTTGTTTGCCTCAGTTCCCTTATCTATAAAATGAGCTGAAGAAGGAAATGGCAAACCACTCCAGTATCTCTACCAAGAAAACCCCAAATGGGTCACGAAGAGTTAGGCATGACTGAACTACAACCCATGACTCCAAATCTCTCCATTGTACCTTTCTATCATCCCCATTTTACAGATTCAAATCAATTCAACTGATCCATCAATCAAATACCAATAAGGAACTTACTATGTATAAGATACTGTTCTAGGGGCCTGGAGACACCTGAAGTATAGAGAGAGTTAGGAGCTCAGACTTAGGAGGTGCCCAAGGCACATCGAGGCTGGGTAACCTGTCAAGAATCACAGAACTGGTAAATGGCAGGGGCAGGATTTGAACCTTGTCCTCTCCCAGCCCATCATGCTGTCCTCTGTGCCATGCTGCCTCTCCTAGTCCTGGCAACACTGAGACAAAAGCCAAAGGATCCCTAACTTCCAAGGGAAGCTGGAGAGCTGGGGACGTGCCCAGGGTCACCCAGCCTGTTTGTTGTTGAATCGTTTCAGTCATATCTGACTTCCTGGCCCCATTTGGAGTTTTCTTGGCAGAGATACTGGAGCGGTTTGCCATTTCCTTCTCCAGATCATTTGATAAATGAAGAAGTTTTAGACATTGGACTTGAACCCAGATCTTCCAGCGCTCAGAATCCTGGGGCCGGGGCTCAGAAGGTGGGATAGAAGGGAAACAGGGGGAGTCTGACTTTGTGAGGAGGCAGGTCATCTGAGAACGCTGCAACATAAAGGCAATGAATGGGGTCAGAGTGGGGACTTTTGGGCCAGAGCAGAGTGAGGCAAAGGGGTGATGGAAACAACATAGGTCCCACTGGCCCCATCAGTCCCAGAGGCCAGCTTTCTTTGGGGAAGGGGATGGAAGAGAGGTGTCCAGGCCAACACTTTTACCAGTACAGGAAATTCCCAGTGCGACAACTCTTTTCATTCACAGAGATCAGAAACTTCTCTGGGACAAAGAATTACTTAAAAGGGTACTTAGAGGCTAAATAATGTGAGGAAAATCTCAGACAATATATATTAGAGGTAGGATTTGAACCCACATCTCCTTGACTCCAAGGCTAGCCCTCCATCCACTACACAAGCCCTCTTCTGTCTCACCCAGTGCCCAGCCTAGCAGGAGCCATTCTGGGAAGGCAAGGGCATGTTTTGAGACCATGCATCTTGGTCTTCACATAGAAGTCACTGCAGGGTCGGTCCCACCCTCCCCCTCTCCACCACCCTACCTCTTCCCCTTCTCCTAGCTGGCTGGGTCAAGCCCCAGAAACTAAGTGTTTGGAAATTCAGTCAACGCTAGAAAAAAGTCAAAGAGCCAGCTCCCCACTAGGTCACATGTGCGCGCGCACACACACACACACACAAAACCTCTATTTGTCTTCCTGCCCAGATTACCTGGATCCAGCGGTCATTTCGGTTATCCACTGGTGGACAGATGATCAGATGACAGTTAGCCTTCAATGCCAGGTAGTTCATAGCATCCAGAAATTCAGCCTGGGATGTTCCTCGCTCATTAACACTAAGATTGGGCCAAGAGGGAGAAAATGTCAGATCAAAGACTTTATTAATAAATCCTTGTCATATTTAGCTATCAGATCCACTCTAAAAAAGGCTTTCCAATTGTTAACCTACTTGGGGCAAGGAGAAGGACAGGTATCAGGCAGACCCAAATGAGGAGAAAGAGGCCTGACAGGTAAAGGGACAAGGATGAGGTGTGTTGTATAAAAAGGGAAATCTGTCCAGTTGTTCCATCCATGGCTTACAGATGAAGGCCATAGCTTATAGAATCATAGACTGTCAGAGGTGGGAGGAACCTTAGAACATGGAATGTCAGAACTAGGAGGGACCTTAGAACAGAAAATGTCAGCATTGGGAGGGTCCTTAGAACTGAGAAGGTCAGAGTTGAGAGGGTCTTTAGAACTGAGAATGTCAAAACTGGAAGGGCCCTTAGGACACAGAATGTCAGAGCTGGGAGGACCCTTAGAACACAGAATGTCAGAGCTGGGAGGACCCTTAGAGCGCAGAATGTCAGAGCTGGGAGGACCCTTAGAACACAAAATGTCAAAGCTAGGAGGGCCCTTAGAACATGGAATGTCAAAGCTGTAAGGGGCCTTAGAACACAGAACATTAAAGATACAACATTTTGAACACAAGATGTCAGAACTAAAAGAAACTGCAGAAAATAGAAGTCAGGCTGGTTCAAACATGGGCTATTAGAGTTGGAAAGGAATTTCCTCATAATTATAGATGATTGTCCTGAGGTCAGAAGGGGAAGTGATTTTCAAAGTCAACCAGGAAGTCAATGGCAAAAGTGGAAGCCAGGGCTCTTGGCAGCCAGTGCCTAAGCAAACCTGTCTGATCATTCCCTTCGTTTCTGACAAGACAGGATCCTCGGCCTCTGCCCTAACCTCTCACCCAGTGATCTGGGGGGAACCTCAGATTCTCAGCCCTGCTGAGCCCACAGCTACCTCCCTGGGGAGATTTTCTTCTCCAAGCTGAAGGCAGGAGATGTGACTCATGGAAAGAAGGGGAGTGATTGGGCCCAGTCCAAACAACACGTCAAGGCCAGAAGTAGGAAACGAGACTCCAGAGCACCAGCTAACTCATCTCCCACTGGAACCAAAGGGCCAGGCACCAGCTCAACAGCTGGGAAGCGCCTTCTGTTTTTCAGTCTAGTCTAAGACCTCCCAAGGGAGAAGCTGTCCAGGCTCCCTCAGTTGCCCCCCTGAACAGTGCCCTTGTTTAGAGTTAATCCAATACCTGCCTCCACCCCCTGCAACAGAAGCAGCTAACCCTCCTACAATTAACTGCCTTTGTGGTCTCATGAAAGTTGCTCCCTTTTTGTTGGCCTCAGTTTCCCCATGTGTTAACTGAGGAGCAGGGGTTCTTACCTTTTTTTGTGTCATGGACCCTGGGGCAGTCTGGGGGAAGCCTACAGACCGCTTCTTAGAAGAATGTTTTTGAATAACTAAAAGAAATGCTCAATTTAGGGAGAGGATTTTCCCCCCAAGTTTACCGAGCCCCTGACATCTATACATGCATCCTGTGGATCCAGTTTAAGAAACCTTGAGCTGAATAATCTTCCATTTTATGACTCTCGCTTTAGAAGGGACCTTAGAACTGGTCATTTGACACCTCCCCATTCTCTCCTTCTAGTATGTCCCCTCCCCCCAGGAACATCTTCCTAATACTCACCTTTGACCACGTCACTGTCTTGCTCACGAAACTTCAGTCCTTCCCTCTAAACTCTTTAGGTAAGCATTCAAAATCCTTCACAGTGTGGTTCTCCTCCACCTTTCCAGGCTTATTTCATCTTACTCTTCTTCAGGCACTCTCAGGGCCAGCCAAAATGTACTACCTGCTATCTCCCCGACCTGACAGCCCCTCTCCCACCTCCATGCCTTTGTATAGATCGTTCCCCATACTGGGAATACCTGCCTCCTCACTTCCACCTCTGAAAGCCCTCAATTCCTGTAAGGTTCCATTCAGGTTTTACTTTCTAAGAGAAGCCTTTCTTGATTCCCTTGGTTGTTAATGCCTGTTCAGGCCTCCTTCAACTATGTTGTAAACACTTGTCTCTTTACGTGCTGTTACATATAAAACACACACACTCTCTCTCTCTCTCTCGATATATATATGTATATATGTGTGTGTATATGTATATATATGTATGTATACATATATGTGTATATGTATATATATATGTATATATACATACATATATAGTGTTTAAAATGTTGTATCTTTAATGCTTTATACTACCCAAAAGGGAACAGGGAGTGTCTCATGGTTTTTTTCTTTGTATTCCTGGCGCTTAGCACATAGTAGGTGTATAACAACTACTTCTCATATTGGATTATTTCTATAGTGGTATTTACTCTATTAGAAACTAGCAACCATGCCACAAACTCTAGTCTGGTACTTACTCCTCCTACTCTCCCAATAATAATGATCATATGAAGAAGACCCAAGTCAAGATGAGAATTCCCAGCCTCCACCCTCAGCCCCACTCACTCTCCATCCTTCCTCCAAAAATATATCTTAAATGTTGGCTCATCCCAATCACCACCACTCCTTCCATACTCACAGAACCCAAGCCAGCTTCCAACCAGACACATGTTACCAGACTTCTGTCTGAGGCAGCTAGTATAGAAGTGGGCTTGAAGTCAGGAAGACTCTGGGTTCAAATCCAGCTTCAGATACTTACTAGCTGTACGACCCTGGGCAACTTACTTCACCCTGTTTGCCTCAGTTTCCACATCTGTAAAATGGGGATAATAATAGCACCTACTTCCCAGAGTGGTTGTGAGACTTATTTTAACCACTGTCTGCCTCAATTTCCCCAACTGTCAAATGGGGGTAGTAACAGCACCTACCTCACAAGGTTGCTATGGAGATGAAATGACATTATATGGTGCTATGCAAATGCCCATTCCCTTCCTTTCTCTCTGTCTCCTTCTTGATCTTCCTAACCATTGCAACCAGGCCCCACCCCACCCCTAGAACTACCATCCATTGATCTCTCCAGTCATCCCTGAAGCAGGGAGGGAGTGAGGTGCTATCAGGACAAGTAGGTGCTTAATAAATACTTATAGAATTGCACTCTTGCTTTCAACCCCATGGCATCCCTGTCTCCTGATATATGCATCCTGTGGGTGTTTGAGAAATTCTCATGGCCAGACTTACTGTCTCCCTTAGAATTTAGTTTTATAAGACCTTAGAACTCATCTAATCCATCCCTTTTACTTTATAGATGAGGAAACTAAAGCCCAGAAAAGTGAAGTGAGTTACCCAAGGTCACACAGGTGGTAGTGAGTATCAGAGGTGGGATTTGGACCCAGGTCCTTGGTCACCTGCATCATTGTTCTCTCTGCTTTTACCTGGTATGTACCAAGCACTGTGCTAAGTGCTGGGGAAACAAAAAGAGGCAAAAGATAGTTCCTGCCCTCAATGAGCTTACAATCTAATAGGGGAGAGAACATGCAAACAAATATATAAAAGGAAAACTGAATGCAGGATAAATGTAGGATAAATAAATAACAGAAGGAAGGTACTAAAATTAAGAGGTGTTGGGAAAGCTTCCCGTAGAAGGTGGGATATTAGTGGGGATTTAAAGGAAGCCAGGGAGGTCAGTAGTTAGAATGCAGGAGGGACAGTGTTCCAGGAATGGGGGACAGGCAGAGAGAGATAGAGTGTCTTGTTCATGGAACAGCCAGGAGGCCAGAGTCACTGAACTGAAGAGTACATATAGGGGAGGAAAATCACTTTGGTGGCTGAATGGAAGATGGACTGGAGTGGGGAGAGACTTGAGGGGGCAGACCCCCAGCAGCTATTGCAATAGTCCAGGTGTGAGGCGATGAGGGCCTGCAACAGGGTGGGGGCAGTGTTAGAGGAGAGAAGAGGGCTTATTGGAGAGATGCTGCAGAGGTGAAATAGATAAGAGAGTCTGCAGAGGTGAAATGGACAATAGAGTCTTCAGAGGTGGAATGGACAAGAGAGGCTGAGAGGTGAAATAGAGGAGATGCTAAAAAGGTGAAATAGACAAGAGTCTGAAGAGTGAAATAAACAAGAGAGTCTGCAGAGGTGAAATAGACAAAAGAGTCTCCAGAGGTGAGATGGACAAGAGAGGCTGCAGAGGTGAAATAGATAAGAGAGTCTGCAGAGGTGAAATGGACAAGAGAGTCTGCAGAGGTGAAATGGACAAGAGAGGCTGGGAGGTGAAATAGAGGAGATGCTAAAAAGGTGAAAGAGACAAGAGTCTGAAGAGGTGAAATAAACAAGAGAGTCTGCAGAGGTGAAATAGACAAGAGAGTCTCCAGAGGTGAAATAGACAAGAGAGTCTGAAGAGGTGAAATAGACAGGCATTGGCAAGAGATTCCATATGGGGCATAAGAGATAGTGAGGAATCCAGGATGACCCATGTTGTGAGCCTGAGGGATTGCCAGGTAGATATTGCCCTCTATAGTAATAAGGAAGATAGGAAGGAGGATTTAGGGGGAAAGATGACAAGTTCAATTTTTGTGTCTACTGGACATCCAGCTCAAGATGTTTGAAAGGCAGTTGGAGATGCTTTACTTTGCTTTTTTACCAGATCAGGGCAAAGGCCAGAAGTAGAGAAGAGACAGAAGAGTCCTGGGAAAGGAGTGGATCAGTCCTCACCTGCACACATAAACATCCAGGGGCGCTTGGGTGTTGGGGGTCATGATCCAAGGTGCCACTCGGAACACCACCGTGTCTGTGAAAATTGGGGTTTCAAGCAGCAGCTGTGGGAACAGATGTAACATCCTGACTTCTCAGCCGGAAAGTGGACCTCAGCTTTCTAGTGTAAGGGCCTCTCATCCCCAAAATCCCTGGCTAGCAACTAGATTCCCAGTGAATTTCAGAGTCTCTACCCAACCTTGGATAGCTGCATGTACATCATACATCCCCCTACCCGCCTAACCATCCTTAAACAAACCTCCCTTTTCTGAGGCTAACCAACCAGCTCCCAGGCTCCCATCGGGAAACCACCGCCATCACTCCATCCTCCCACCAGCCTCTCCAGCCCTGGATTTCCCAAGGACGCCCGCCTCTTTGTCAAGCCATACTTCATCTGTGTCCATCAGGGTGAGGTCGAAGGAGACCAGTCCAAGGAAATCAGCATCAGGGAAGGCAAGGCCCTCCACATAGAAGGTGATCTCCTGCTCCCCAGGGGCCCGATCCACTTTGTATGACAATTTGTCAGGTCCAAGGACCCTCTTGTAGTTGGAAATTTGATTCCCACCTGGGAGAAAATCAGGGAGTAAAAGGCTCTTTTCTGGGGGCAGGGAGGTGAGTTATCTTGAAAAGATACCTGGTTGAGGTCCCAGCCACAGCAGGAGAGTACAATTAACCAGGTTCTGGTCATAGCAGGAATGGTAATGTGGGAAGGCTAATTCAGAGAGTAAGTGACTTGGCTACATGGTCCATCATTTGTCCCCATTGCAATGAGATTATGTACTACAGGATCTCAATCTTTGCTTAAGGAAGGGGAAAAAGGGAGGGAAGAAGGAAAGGAAAGAAGGAGAGAAAGAAGGAGAGGGAGGGAGAGAGGAGGGAGGGAGAAGGAGAAAGGAAGGAAGGAGGCAAGGGAGGAAAGGAGGAAAAAAAGGAAGGAGGGAAGGAGGAAAGGAAGGATGGAAGAAAGGAGAGAAGGAAGGAAAGAAGAAGACATTTGGGAAGTAGAGAAAGAGAAAAGAGAGAAAAAAGGGGAGCTTCCTTTCTGGGCCATATCCACACACTAATACAGGCTTCCCCATTGAGACAGGCTAGCAGGACTGTGCTAGGGGATATCTTCCTCACCTTGGGCATGGAATACACCCACTTTGTCTGAGTCACCGAGTGATACGTGCAGGACAAGTTTGTGGTTGTTGAAGACCTCATCAGGGCCATTGGTCCAGAGCAGCATCTTAGACATGTCCTGCAGGTCTGAGGAGATGTAAGGCTTAAGGAGGGATCTCCTGGGACTGCCCAGTCCCCTCCCATGATGTGGTCTCCAGGACCTCCCCTTCATCCAGCCTGGACTAAGAGGGCTCATGGCCCAGCTTCCCACCCCCCACTTACCTGCCAGTGAATACAAGTGGCTGTGAGAGTAATCGACTCCCCCAGGGACGGGACTGTCTCTGTCACAATTCACCAAAAGGATTGCTCCATGGCCTCCTGGGCCCCAGCTCCATGTTTTCTGCAGCCAAAGAAATTAAATTCCATTCAATGATCATTTAGTCAGGGCTTATTAGACACAAAGTACTGTACTCAGCCCTGGGAATAGGAAGATATAAATTACAAAATCTCTACCCTCAAAAAACTTACATTCTTCTGGAATGGGGTAAGAGGAAATAAGACATAATAAATAATAAAAAGTAAGGGTGACCAAAACAAAGGGGAGAGAGGTGGCATCAGGGAAGGCTCCATGGAGGTGGCATCAAAACTGGGCTTTGAAGGCAGACCCAAATTCTGAAAGCCTGAGGTGAGGGGGAGCACGTTTCAGGCAAGCAGACAGTGGTTGATGTTCAGAAAACACAGTGTTGTATATTTTGACCAAACACGGAGTGCCCATAGGCTGGAGAGGTGGACAGAAGGGAACATGTGAACATCCTCAGATGCCAGGCTGAAGAGCTTTTATTGCATCCTCAAGGCAATGGGAAACCATGGAAAGTGTTTGAATGGATGCGTTGGGTGGGTTCTTATCAAACATGTTCCGAATGGATTGGAAAAGGGAAGAGTGGAGTCAGAGAGACCCAAGAGAAGGCTGTAGCCTTCTAATGTCCAGGGGAGACATTAACTGTGGCAGCCAGATTAGGGGGACAGCCATGGGAATGAAGAGGAAGGGGCAGAAGAGAGAGAGACAGAGAAGGGAAGATCCCCCTGGCCAGCTCCACTTTCATCCTCATTCTCTTCCCACAACTCTCTGACCCTGGACCCTGGGCTTGAATTAGATGGGGGAGCTGGCATCTAATCTTGGATGGAACCACCTACCCCACCTGTCCCATTCCAACTCCAGATCTCCTTTGTGCATCATCTTCCCTCATTAGAATATAAACTCCTTGAGGGCAGGGACTCTCTTATAGTACCTGGTACAAAGTAAGAACTAGGTGGTGTACTGGAGAGAGCACAAGACTGACTTGGTCCAAATCCTGCCTTAGACATTGTTAGCTGTGTGAACCTGGGCAAGTCCCATAACTTTGCTGTGCCTCAGTTTCCTCATTTGTAAAATAGGGATAATAATAACAGCTATCTCCCAGGGTTGTTCTGAGAATCAAAGTACCTTGCAAACCTTAAAGCACTATACAAATGCTAGCTTTAAAAAATTTTTTTTCAATTAACAATGATTTACTTTTTCTCTCTCCTACCACCTCCCTCCACTATTGAAAAAAGAAAAACAACACTCACTCTTGTAGCAAATATGCATAGTCAGGTAAAACAAATTCCCATATTGGCCAAGTCTAAAAATACATGTCATCTTCTGCACTCTGAGTCCATCCCCTCTCTGGCAGGAGATGGGGAGCACGTTTCATCAAGCATCCTCTGGGATCATGGCTGGTCATTGCATGGATCAATGCAATTACGTCTTTTAAGTTATTATTAATAATAATTTTAATAACAGCTAATCTCTGAATTAATAGTAATTACTAATTAAATTATTTATGGATAATTATGAATGTTTTTTATTCACACAATATGAATTTAATAATGAATTATTAAAATGGAAGTTCATGGGGACAGAATAAATGGGGGAGAGGTCAAGAAAAGATTTCCTCACTGGCCTAGGCAAAGGCCAATGGTGATGACAACCTGCCTTTGAATCTTGGACTTTTCTATATTAGGTTTGCTTAGAGCAGGACCCATGTAGATGGATGAGAATGAGACACTAGATTATAAAATTGTAAAATGAAGGAGTGGTGCCCATAATTGTACAATAGTAATCCAAAGGAAATATTATGAGGTTTGAGTATGACCAGACTATCCTGTCTAGTTCTGGACACTATAACTAGATAGTTAGGTGGTTCAGTGGATGGAGCTCTGGACCTGCAATCAGGAAGACCTAAGTTCAAATCCAGCCTCAGATATTATAGGACCCTGCCTCAGATACTTCCCAGCTGTATGTACTTCACCTCTGTATGCCTCAGTTTCCTCACCTGTAAAATGGGGATAATAATAGCCCCTACCTCCCAGGGTTGTTGTGAGGCTCAAATGAGATGATAATTGTAAAGTGCTTAGCATAGTGCCTGGCACATAGTAGGTGCTTAATAAATGCATGTTTCCTTCTTTCTGTATCTTCCCCATCATATTAGAATTAATTTTTTGAGCCTGTCTAAGACTTTGCATTTATTCCTACTGAATTTATCTTACTAGGTTTCAACCCACCATTCTAGCCAATCAAAAAAAATTTTTTTTTATTGTGACACCATCATTCAACATACTCCAAAAGCATACCATCTATGACTTTATCCAAGTCATTGATAAAACTCTTAAATAGCTTTAGGCCAAGCACAAATCCCTGACCCATTCCTGGGAGATTTACTTCCGAGGTAACGTAGACTCAAGAAAGATCACTTTCTGGTTCTGGTCATTCAATCAGGCCTGGCTCCACCTCATTGTTATATTGTCTATCCCATATCTCCCCATTTTGTGCACAAGATGAAGACTTTGCTTTGCCCCCACTGCTCCCCCCAGCTGCTGATGCTCTCCTTCTCTAGGCTGGATTTATTTTTATACATATTCTGTAAATCATAATATACATGTTGTGTGACACTCTCCACACCCCACTAGAATGTAAGCTTCTTGAGGAAACAGACTGTTTTGTCTTTGTATCCAGCATCTAGTTCAGAGCCTGGCTTAGGTGCTTAATAAATGTTAGTTTATTCATTGATTCATTAAGCATAGCATGGGAGACTTTGCTAAGTACTTTACTAAAAGCTGGGGAAGCTCTCTTTATGTTATTCCTCTGATCTATTAAAAATATTCCCTTAATTTAGTGAAACAGGGGAAATGTAGACCTCAGCAGTTATCACCTCCTCATAGCAAATTAACAGGAATTATATTAGACTTATCCAACTAGGAGGCTGACCCAACAGTATGGGAGATCTTGAGCAAAGCACTGCATCTTTCTAGGTATCACTTTTCCCACCATAATGGTGTTAATCCTCGCTCTTCCATCTATCTCTGCTTTGTTTTTAGAAGAAGGTGGGGGAAAGAAAGGGAAGAGAAAGGGGAAGAAAGGGAAGGAAAGGGAAGGAAAGGGAAGGAAGGAAAGAGAGGGGAAGGGAAGGGAAGGAACATTCATTAAACACCTACTATGTACCAGGCACCGTGCTAAGTGGTTTACAAATATTACCTCATTTGATCTTGGGGATCAGATTTGGGGAGAGTAAGAATTACTGATTGCAGACATTCCAGTGCCCCAGCCACCTGGTAGATAGAGATTTACAGTCCCTACCAAAACCCCTGAGAATTTGCCAGTGTTTTCCCAGGTCAAGGCAAACCCTGGAGATGCTTACCTTGTTAACTTTGCTCTTCTTTATCGTCCCAGTACGACCCGTGTCAACATCCAAAGAAACTTCTGAAAAATCACACAGCAAAGTGACCATTAGCCAGTCCCTGGAGGTACTTGCTCTAAGTAGAGGGCCGTGACATAGGGAGATCCTAAGCAGCCACATTTTCTGCCCTGCCTTGACCCCCTATTCATGCTCCGGATTGCCAGAACAAGTCTGTCCCAGAAGGTGGTGGGGGCTGTGCCTCAGAAACCTGGTAGAACCATGTCGTGGGAGCCATTTTCCTTGGTGGTTGGGGCAAGTGGAAAGATTGAAGGCCTAAGGTCCTGAATGCTGTGCTCCCATGGCCAACTCTTCTAGAGAACCTGTGACCAGGCGCCTGTAGGAGCAGAGTATTATCAGGGATTTGCCACCCTATAGTCATACTTTTCTCTACTGGGCCTCAGCTTCCTCAACTGTAAAATGGTATTTTACTAATGATCTCTAAGGTCTTCCAGCTCATAACACTCCATGGTCCTTCCAACTCTGACATTCTGTATTCTAAGGTTCCCTCCTACTTGATCATTCTACAGTATCTTCCAAGCTGGGGTCATTTCCAGCTCTGACAGTCTCTGTTCTAAAGCCCCTCCCAGTTTGACATCCTATGTTCCAAGCTAAACCTTCTAGCTATGTTCAAAGTTCTCCTCCAGCTCTGACATTCTACATGCTAAGGTACTTTTCACTTCTAACATTTTATCTTCTAAGCTAGGGCCCCTCTCAGCTTTGACATTCTGCTTTCTCAGGTTCCTTTCAGCTCTGACATTCCATGTTCTAAGGTTCCTTTCAGCTCTGACATTTTATGTTCTAAGGGCCCTTCCAGCTCTAATATTCCACGTTCTAGGAGCTTTCCCAGCTCTAACATTCTGTGTTCTAAGCTAAAATTCCTTCTAGCTCTGACATTTTACTCCTTCAGTCCCCTTCTGGCTTTGGAATTCTGTTTCCTAAGGGACCTCTAGCTCCAATGTGCTATGAATCTACAACTTCTTCAATCTTCATTTATGTTTTACAACAAGAACTAACTAACACCCTTTTCCCTCCAGGAGTCTAACATCCCTCGCCGCAAGATTCCACTGATCCATGTAATACCTCAATGGGAGGAGGGAAGGTCAGAGAGGATAGGATCCGCTTGGAAGGTCAGGAAACTGAGGCTCAGAGAGGCTGGCCACCTTACTGAAAATCACACAGCAAGTCTGGAACAAACCTGAGATCTAGTGCACAAGGGGGTTCTAGACCTTCTGCTTTGCAGAAGCCTGCTAAACATCCTAAGAGAATAATCAGAGAGGTATAGAAACAAAGAAGCAAAGGGCAGGTAACTATGGGCTACTTACCAATGCCGGTAAGATACAGCAGGGCCTGGCCTAGTGCATTGCTTTCATTCTTTCCATAGTAAGAAACCTGCACCTGTGGAAACATCATGGGGTCTGATCAAATGCAGCCTCCATGCCCCCAGGAAGCTCCAGGAGGCTTGGAGCAGGAGAAGCAGGAGGAGCAGAGAAACCTGGCTGTGACTGACCTACCAGGAGGCATACAGGGATGACCCTTCCAGTTTGCAAAGACCCAAAAGTCACTGCTTAGAGTCAAGCCCTAGACACTTTAGTGGTGGGCAGTGAGAACCCAGAGCCAGCAGACCTAGTGGAAAGCACCCTGAGTAGCCTCACTTTCCCCATCTGTAAAATGAGGAGACTGGACTAGATGATCTGGGCCCTCCCAGCTCTGACCTTCTGTGTTCTAAGGGCCCTCCCAGCTCTGACATCCTGTG